TTAATTGTTTTTGGTAAGAGTACAGCAAGACCAGTTTTGTCAGATGAGTCTATTATGGCTGCATTTCAGTGATGGGGTATGACCAGTTTGAATATACTATTCCCCTCACTCCAAACATAGTGGAACATAAGTGCTGTACTGTGTAATGGAAATTCCTCTGCTGTTTACATTGGGTAGATCTGAATTTGAAATTAGCACCTCAGTCAGTTCATTGCTTTGCTGCGATACAAACTTGTCTTGTTATTCCCTCTCTTCATTTTGTGTATGTCAAACTAAAGCCACTCCTGATGTGGCAGCTTTGAGATTAAGTGGGCAGTTTTTGGCTCAATTACGGCAATTAGTGTTCAGTCATATTGCATGTTTAAACCCAAGCTTTGACATGTCAGCATTTTGCTCCATCCTAAAGTAGGGCTATTTTTGCTCAGAGAAATGAGTGATTATATTTTGGTCATTATAACAGAAAGCTTAATAAGCTAACTGAGCATAGTACCTGGAGAGATGTTGTTCTCCAGGTTGACTTTTTTTAACAAATAACAAGTCTGGAATCAGGGAAGAAGGGAAAAGAGGAAGGAAAGTATGTGTGTGAACTTGATATGAGGCTATTATACTGTCATGCCTCAAACGAGCAATTTTGTGCCCTTTCTTCTTTCTAGCAATGCCACATGGGCAGCATTGATGCATGTCCCTGCTTCTGATAGGAGTAAAGATTTGGATGTGAGAAAACAGTAAAGGTGTTGCTCTGTAAAATCTATTTGAAGCCTGACACTTTGCAAACTCAGCAGCAACAGAAAACTTGTCTGTAGAATACTTATCTCCTACCTTATTTATATTGATGCTACAAGTGATACTGGCATGACTGACTGTAAACCTGTGTAGATATAAGAAGCGCTATAAACAATTCAGCGTCTTAAATGTGCGGCATGGCAGTCCTCCGTAATGGAGGTGCACCAGCCCGTCTGTGATGTGGATAGTTGGAAGCAAGTGGCCAAAGATGAGAGGTAGGCTTAAATCTTAACTTTGAGCAAACGCCTGCTAGTTTGGCTCAGTAATGGTCTGTACTTGACAGTACTCCATGAGAAGAAATGCGGCTTTAGCATTTTGTAAATGAATGTGTTTATAAGAAAGGAAAAAAATATCTCTTTCCGGACAGATGTCTTATATTAATCTCTTAACTTGTGGTGTCTGTCTTTCAGCATTTCTTAAATGTGGTTTAACAATGAACTTTAATTTGTGGATTTTTTGATGTACGCTTCTGTGTGCATTGTTTGGCTTTTGTATGGGTTATCCAATACTGGATGTACTCACTCATCTTCTCTTACACATTGCAAGGAACTGTTAAGCAGTTCCATTTGTGTCCTTCGTAATTAGATTACTCACAGAAGACCGTTAATAAGCACACATTACAACATACATTAGGGTAGTAGAGATGTAATACAGATACGCTGGGGAGGGGAAGATTCCCCCTGCCTCTGCTTTGACCTGGGACAGTTAAACAAAAATGTGTGCAGAAAAACTTGAAGCTGAACAATGCATTGATGTTAGTCATTGTATTTCTTAGCTTCCTTTGCCACCCACTGCCCCAGTCCTCTTTCCTCTATTATTCTGATCTTCTGTAATTTTATCTCAAGATTGTATTTGAAGTCTTCTGCTAGATTGTTAAGTGTACAAAATCCCTGAGACTATCCTTTTGAGACTACAGAGTGGCACAGGTAAAGGCTGTAGCCTTGGTGTGATTGTTAAATGAGTTCAATCTTTTTCGTGGTTGACTTGAAAATTTGAAAGGTTACATTTTGGTGTTTCTCCAGCAGCTTAATTATTTTGACTTAATATGCCCTTAGTCTTTACTACTAGTTTTGTACTTACCTAAATACTGGAAAAGAAATAATTCTAAAAGCCTCAGAGTCCACTACTTGGAGCACTCTTCTTTGTATTTGCAGTTAACTTAGAGGAAGATGTAGGATAGCTGTTCCACTGTAGAAACACCCCAAATTTCAAGGCAGTATATCTGTGGCCTAAATCTACAGTTGTCTTCAAGATAAATGTGAGATTGTGTGTTTCAGTTCTAGGATTAAGATTTTTAGAACCCTTCTCTCAAAATAGAAGAACATGAAGGTGTGGTATTTAAAACATACTTCTTTTTTTTTCTTTTTTTCTGGCTAGCAGCCCTTACTAATATCATCTAGCTTACCCTAGCCTCCTTTTTAGTTTACAGTTCTCCCTTTAGAGATAGATTAGTCATTGTTTCTGTACAGTAGCATTTTTTCCCCTGCAGCACTAATTTTATTGCAAGATTTACTTAAGCCTCCATCTCTGTTCCAAACTTCTTCTGCCTCCAGCATGGCACAGGGTGTTTAAAATCTGTGATAACTCTGGCAATGATATTTCCATTTTTTTTTCTTCTGCCATGGTTGCACCAAAATACCAATAGAGAGTACAGCATTCCCTTGCTTGCTGCAAACGTGTAAATGTTATGTGTGTTCACAACCTGTCTTTGGGGCTCAACAACCCTCATTGAAATACGATAGGAAGGTGCTGGTTACATTTTCACACTGAGTTTTGGTCAGTGACATGAGTTTGATTTAGATGATACTAAAGGTGTGTGCAAGTTGATTGCAGTAGCTACTAGAGATTTTTAAGTCTTTGTTGTTAAAACTTTAAACTTTTCGTGCTTGATGCATTTTCTGTGTATGTTTTCTGGTTGGAGGACAAAGTTCTCTGAGGTAAGAATGTGCTAGGGTGATGCAGAGGCTATGGATGCACAGGCACATGCTGTTGGAGATTACTTTCATGTGGAATAGCAGCACTCGTAGGTGCAGTTTTGCTTCCATTGCCAAGTTATATAAAAGCCTGCTCATGCAAATAAAGGACTTGAGCCTTAATGAAGGGAAAATTAAGTCCAAATAAAAATGTCCTGGTATAAACTGTGCCAGAAAAGAAACTTCCTCCCGTCTATGAGAATCTAACACAGATCTTTTCATTCATCCTTTTACTTGCCTTTAGGCATACCTCCCAGTGGTTGTCAGGCAACCATAATAATGTTGCTGAACATGCAGGCTGGCTAATTGGATTGTCCCCTTCTTGGGATTTTTGTTCAAATGGTTTTGGTCATTTTTAATAGGGCAAACACATGCAAGTTGCTTTGTTGGATGATGCGATAAACCAAGGGGCTTTTAAGAGTTCTGTGGCATGTCAAGGACAGAATTTTGACACCTGTGCAAGCTTTGACATTGCACTTAATCAAGAGCATAAGAATTTGCCTCTGTCACTACAGAAGCTTTGCTAAATTCTGTTTTAATTCAGCACATTTCCCAGTTGTATTCAAACCAGTCTATTCTAATGAGAACTTTTGGTTGAAAGGCAAACTTGACTGGACCTGAGCAGCACTACAAAAATTTAGTGTTCAAATAGGCTGAGAATTTCCTGCACCTTGTAGCCTGCATCACAATGGTAGTTTTACTAGGGAAAATTGCATTCAGAAAAACAGCAGTGTTTTAGTACAGGGTGAGATGCCACAGAAGTGGCATATATCATAAGAACAGCAAGGGTTTTGTTCTTTGTTACACTCACTGGAAAATATATTTAATGTGTTGTTCAGGAGGGCCTGTTTCTCTATGCCAGCTTGATGTGAGTAAGAACATTTCTTACAAGGGATGTTGAACTTGAGTGTCTAGTAGTTTCCCTGGTTATTCTAAGCATATAAGCTAAAAATTCATGTGATTTGCATTTATATAACCAAACTTGCCTTGTAGTAATTATTGCAAGGCAACTACTTACTTGTTTCCTTTTATTTTTTCTTATCTCCTTTTAGATTCACAAAGTTGAAGAGCCTTAACCTTTCCAATAATAATTTAGGAGACTTCCCACTGGCAGTCTGCAGTATCCCAACTCTGACTGAACTCAACGTGTCCTGCAATGCCCTCAGAAGCATTCCAGCAGTTGTAGGCGAGATGCACAAGCAAGTACTCTCTTAAAACCTAACACACACAGCCTGATAATAAAAGCAACAAGCAGTTTCATGACTCTACATACTCTTGCTATGAGAAACAGTTTAAACTTACTGGTTTTTCTCACAGCAGACTGGCTTGTAGATCCATATGGAAGCAGTTGTGGATGGAGGGAAAAGCACTCTTTGTGCTTCGAAGCTCTTCCAGTCCTCAGCATTTGAAACAAGGGTCACTTTCATGGTGAAGAAAATCTTTAAACTTCATTGCTTATGTGCTTCAGCTGTGATACAAGTTGCAGTTCTGGGGGTGTTTGAAGATACAACTGTCTAACACAGCCTACATTTCATAGTTGCCAAAGCTTTTAATTATTTGGTGGATATCTTCTGTAGCAGATGTTAAAGCATTATTCTTTAATGTTTTTCTTTCTGCTGCCCTTTTTTATATTGCATGTCACTGTAACTGCAGCAGATTTGTGTGTTTATAGGAAGGAAATGTGATTTAACAGGTCATTCGCTTTCTTCACTCTCCCTTCCCCTCCCCCACTTCTAATAGCTTGCAGACATTTTTGCTGGATGGCAACTTTCTCCAGTCCCTTCCTGATGAATTGGAGCATATGCATCAGCTCAGTTATGTGAGTCTGTCCTTCAATGAGTTCACTGACATTCCGGGGGTTCTGGAGAAGCTCACTGCCATGGATAAGCTTTGTATGTCAGGAAACTGCATGGATACCCTGAACCTACAGGTGTTGAAAAGGATGCCTCATATTAAACATGTGGATCTAAGGTAGGTATTAGGAAAAGGGGGAAGAATAAGTAAGCCTGAATTATTGATGTTGAAATGAATTCTCCTTGGCTATCAGAATAGCCCCCGGGTATGAATCTCTTGTGTTAGTTCACTGAACCATGTTTCTGGTGGTGTTACATAACTTGCAGTACTTGCCGTGACTTAGCACTCTTCTCTGAGGAAGTAGAAGCATTTAGGGGGGTCAGAAGGTAGGAGGATGAGTTTTGGGGGAAATAGTGGTCGCACCAAAAGCTCAAACAAAACAGAACCTGGAACACTGGTGATTCCTGCAGTTCTTGTTGCTGCAGTGTTAATATAATATAGATGATAGTCCCTAACCCAAAAAGCTTCTATCTGAAAGATGAAGCTACTCTGGAAGTACAACTGTTACACAGAGGGCAACTCTTCAAAAGCAAGAGCAACAGCAGAACTGTAGATATTTATCCTTATCCTTGCTCAGCTTATCCTCAACTGGCTTAGTGGACAAATGGAAGTTAGTATACTGATTTTAGTGTTCTGTTCAGAGCTGGGAATTTGAACTCTTTGGAGTGCTCTGCAGTCTCAAACATTGTTGGGTTATAGATAATCTCATTCAGGTGTAACTTGCTGAGTATTGGCAGTGTCAATGCACTGCAGTGAAGATGTGATTAAAATCTGTTCTCTTTATCTGACAGACCCACTTGTCTTGGGTTTTTGCTTTGTTTTCATTCAACACCCATTTTTAGGTCTCTGACTTTGCTCGCTGTGAAATGTGAAGAGGTGAGAAGCAAATGTATGGGAATTCATAAATCTCAATTTGGCCTTTCAGTAAGGCAAGAGTCTCCAATATGTGCAGGCTTTTCCAGCACATGCTCATGACAGAGCAGCAGGAACTGTAGAGGTTTTGTTCTTTTCCAAGCTATTGGGCACAAATAACAGACAGATCATCTTTTATTTTTATAGACACAGTAACAATAATACTTAGTTTCTTGCAGAGCTTTTCATAAGTAGTTTTCAAAGTAGTTTAGAAAGGAGCCCGGTGTCATCATTCCTTTGTCATGATGGATAAAGCAACAGAGTGGATCCATCCTGTTTTCGAATACCATAACAAGGGGGAAAATATTAAAAATCAACCTTGATCAGAAGGTAGGCTAGTTTAATCCAGTGCAGCTGATTTATTTTAGAGTGAGCATTGGTTTGTCAGCAGGAACCTGCCACATAACTACAGTTAATCTTTTTTTTTTGTCTGCAAGATTGAATTCAATTAGGAGATTGGAGGCCGATGAAGTAGATTTTCTGCATCACGTGACCCAACTAGATCTGAGAGACAACAGACTTGGGGAGCTGGATGCAACAGTTTTTAACAATGTTGAAGTATTACACTGTGAAAGGAATCAACTGGTAACCCTCAAAATCAGTGGATATTTTCTCAAAGCACTGTACGCTTCCTCGAATGGTGAGTGCGTTTTCAGGGCAGCTGTGGTGTTGTCATCTGACTTCTGTTTTCATACCTGGTTCTCTCTGGGATGCTTGTGGAGTGCAGTGCACATAATCAGGACGCTCTTGACATTACCCTGGATAAAAGGGTTTCACATGTACTGTGTCATGCTACTGGCAATTCTGGGCTTCAGAAGTGACTTTCAAATAATGCTGGGCTACTGATTTTGAGATCTGAAAACTGTGAAAACCTTACAGTTTGGGCTGAAATTCTTCTCTGTGTCAGTAGGGAGGGTACTTCAGTGTGTCATTTGTTTTGGTTTATTATTGTGTTGCTTTACTAAGGCCAATGAGAAATTAACTGCTTCTCCCTGCATTGAGAAAGTTTGAACAAGTGGCCATTTGTGAGACAAACCAAAACAATATATATTTTTTGCTACTACTTCTTGCTCCCTACTCTGGACAGAAAGCTACAAAATCCATGAGTAACTTCATTTGTATTTGATAATAAAAATAATGCCAGGTGAATAACTCCTGTGTTTCATTTATTGCATCTGTTTGATCTGTCTCTGGAAACTGCTATTACTTAAAATACTCAGTTTGCACCACCATTTTTATTGCTTGGAGTAGTTCAGTATGGAATAAAGAAAATGCAAGCTCAGAAAGCTATGAATTTGATGAACAGTCTGAACTGCCTTTAAAAGGCTGTCATCTTAGTGATATCCAAGCCTATACCTTCATTAAGTATTCATGCCAGGATCTTTGTAGCTAAGAAAAGTTAACATAATCTAAGCATGTGCTGCTCAATGTGGGCTGAGAATCCAAGTCAACCCATATCTTGCAATGAACTGCCTATTTGGTCTTCTTTTTTCTCCTGGTTATCCTCTCTTTGCACTCTCAGCCACCTTGTTTTAGTCTCATTTTCCAAAGAAACTGTGATGGTGGGTACAGTTTCATTTTAGTGCATTTTTCTGTAGGTTTAAATAAATGTCTGGCGGGTTTTTTTTAACCTTAATACTAAGTATTAGCTACCTAAAAACCTTAGGTTATGAACTGTATTTTTGATTGCTTCAGTAGTAACATTGCTAGCAGTAGTCAAGGTGCTATGAAAGGTCTGTAAGGCTGCCTGCAACTGGGAACTCCACAGGCATGCGAAGGCTCATGTAACGTGTTGAAAAATACTCTGGATCTTGCCATGACCTAGAGAATTCTGTGGTATCCTGTAACTTGCTGTTCCAGAGTGGGGAGTTTTCCTTCCCGTGTCTGTACCACTAGTGACCAGTGAAAAAAAGTAGAGCAGGTTTGTGACTAACTCTTCTGGGCAGAGGGCAGCAGAGGTGAAGTTACAACTCTGTGACAAAAATGGGAAAATGAGAATTTGCCGTTAAACTTTTAAAATCCTCCAGTTTCTCCTCTCTGATCAGTTATACAGTTTCTGTCATAACAAGTACAATGTACTGGAGCAAATGTACTAAGACCTAATAAAGAAACAGAACTGGGTTCACAGGGGTCCAGATCTTCAGAAATTTTTTAGATTATTGACTTGCTCTGAAATGTCTCGGTGTTAGCTCTTAAAGTAATTCTTATGGAACAGTCATTTAGGTGCAAATCTTTATCACTGTTTTTTGTTATTATATGTATTTTTTTCCCCTAGAACTTGTTCACCTTGATGTGTATCCAGTTCCTAATTGCCTGGCTTATATGGATATTTCTAGGTAAGACTATGTTTTTTCTTGGATGCGTGAAATATACATCAAAGACTCTTATGGAACAATGACATTCATTGATATCTTACTGGGTGGGAGCGGGGGCAGGAATTGGACCTTGGGATATGAAAAGACTGATTTTCAGAGTTAGAGCATAGAGCATGGGCTCCTTTTCTACTGGTCAGTTCTTCCCTTTATAGATTCCCCCCCTTTTTTTTTTTTTTACTGCCAAAGGCAAAATGTGCCTTTATAGTTAGAGCAAAAGAGTTTCCGTGATTTAAAGATTTCCTGTCTTACAGAGTTATAAGACGATGATTCAAACGTACACCAATCTGAGACATGTGCAGGAGTTACTTTCTGGATATGTCTGCATCGTAAGCCCAGCGTAGGTGATGGTTTGATAGTTTACTCATCAGTTTGGCAGCTCGTGCAGCTCATCGTTGTTCTCCGCAGCCCTAGCTGCTACAGAGATGTCTGCAGTTGCCATTTGAAGGAATACGTAAATTTCATCTTAATGAGGAAGGTGGGATAAGGGAAGAAATGGAAAAGGGGGTGTTTTAGTTTGTTTTACAATTTCAGGACTGAATCAGGAAAACATTTATACATGTGCTTAATGGCTGTCTTATTTAAGAAATTACTCATCTACATTTGAAGTGATAATCTCATTTATTAAAAAACCTACTTAAAGCACTCAAACTATTGCGGATGATCATAACAATTAGTGAATTAACCTGGGCTAGTGGCCATCAACTTCAAAGTTTCATCAACCCTGAGTTACCCACATTGTGCCCCTAAATGTAACACAGTGGTGTGACTAAATAAGTAATCTGTTGAAAAGCGATCTGTTGTAAAGCCGCATTCTCCATTTACGTTTGTAAGTGAAGTTGGTATAGAATGCGTGATTTTGATCACAAACCTCTTTTTGTTCTTCATTTCAGTGATGGCGTTGTAACTAAATGAGTGGAGTGTCTTTAGCTTTTTGGCTTGCTTGGAATTTGGGAAATCTGCTTGAGAATAGAAAGGAAGCTATCAGAGAAGAGAGATTGGCTTGCTATTGCATATTTTAGTTAAAGACTATTGCAGGAATAAACTAAAGGATACAAGTACATGATTGATTTATGGTCATGCTTTGTAAGCCTCCTTGTCCTGAACTTCAGGTCTGAGAGCGCCTGACTATTATTTTATGCCCAGTTTTGCTTCTGTGTATGCTGACTGAAATAGTGGTTATGTGAAGGCATATGCACACAATCTCCTCCATGTATCTGCTAATTTTTGTCTTTATAAGGCAGGATACAGGAGTGCCCCAGGTTGCCTTATCTGTGTGTTTTCAGTGCAATATTTGGAAAAACTTGCCCCCAGGACCTTAATTTTCAGAAGGGTTAGTTTCTGTGACGATAAATGCAAGAAGAGCAAAACAGTTGGCTTTAAAAATACACAAAAAAATTTGCTCTTTTCAGTGAGATAGCTGAAGAATGGTAGAGTGGATTTGGGGATTAAATTTATGAGAGATCAAAGAGGTGCGTTTTGACTGCGTAGGGTGTGAATATCTTAGAAATTTTCTTTTCCATGGAGAGACTTCATTTTTGATACTCTGATACTCTTAATGCTTCCATGATAATTTGGAAGCAGTTTTTTCCATTTTCTTAGAGACTGCACATGTAGGGAGGTAATAATGCTGTTAGTTTTCTTGCCCCTCTCACTCAGGACTTGACTGCACAGAAGGAGGGATGATACTATGTCATAGGAAACATGCTATGTAGCAGATTTGTTTCCTGCAGGTATCTGTATTTCCATTGAGGCTCTGTACTTAATAGCCTTTACATCTCGATTATCATTTAGTTACACCTCTTTGTGTTCTTTATTCATAGAAATCACCTGGAAAACCTGCCTGAGTGGGTGTGTGACAGCAGGAAACTGGAAGTGTTGGATGTTGGCCACAATCAGATACGTGAGCTGCCTGCCCGGTAAGTCTTCCACAATGTGGAACAGGATAAGCAATTCAGAAATAATTGCTGATTCAGTGTTTAGCTTGTTCCACTGACTGTCAGGGCTGTTTTATCTTTTGTTTGATTTTATTTTTACCTTGCGGGGTGTCGTCATGCCTCAAGCTTCCACCCAGCCTTTCTTCTTTTACTTTCATGCAGAGAAAGTAGTGCCTTTGAACTTCAAGTGGAAGTTTTGAAGCTGTTCATGTGGCTGTTCAGGCAGAAAAGCCCTTCATTTTTAATATTGAATATTAAATATTTACAGCTGTGGCTTTTCATGACAGTTTAGAGATCCAGAACTTGTAACTTAGTTTCAGTGATGCCTCAAGACTCCAGTTCACAGCCATGTTTGAGTGAAAAAGGGTTTAGGGAAGTTGAAGCCATATCAAGCAAGTAAACTCCTGTGAGTAGAGCAATTGCCTTCACTGCAAAGATGACCTCTTTTCCAGGAGTCTAAACTTAAAATTGATAAATACAAATGATAGAAAAGAAGTGAACAGGAAGCAAAATAGGAGTTTGGTTTAAATAATGAATGGGTCTTACTAAATTTTTTTCTTGAGAGACTTGTTCCAGGTGCAGTGTTGAGAATTTTTAAATTCCTGCCTTCACTGGAAGAGAATTGTCATTCTTGAGTGTTCATACACTTCAAAAGAAAAGTTGTGAAAGAGGGAGAACATACTAGCTAGGCACAAGGGATGAAAGTACATCGGGATATGCAGAGCCACTGAAGATGGTAGGCAGCTCGTATGTCATGAGCTATTAAATATTTTCCTTAAGGACTGTACAGCACAGAAGAGCATCAGAAACCAAGAAGGATAGTTTTCTGTGGGTCAGATGAATATGTAATGCGGTGTAAACTTGGCAATTTTAGTGTCAGAAATGAGGAGAAAATAGATTTCAGAAATGTGGGCAGAAGAAGATATGAGGAGATTTGCTGAGCAAACGAACAGGCTAACATGCAGACTATTAATCCCTCTGTTTTTTCACACCAAGTGAAACCATGCCTACTCAGAAGGTGGGGGTGCAAAAGTTCATTTGTCTTTCATTTGCACTTCATAACAGCCAGGGCTATCAAGGCATACCGGATATCTCTGGGAGATTAATGATTGGCTGAAATTAGGTACAGTCAACATCCCACTTGTCTCTCCTGCCATCTTATCATTAACCCCAGGAAAGAGCTTATCTTTGAAAGCTCTTCTTTGTAGTATGTGTATAGATAGCTTAGCTCCTAATAAGTCAGTTCAGTTTTAAGGCCCTGTTCCGTTCAAAAGACAGGCTTTGAAAATCTGTCAGACTTTAGGGAAATTTGGGTCTGGACTCAAATGCGAATGACTCAACAGTAGTTTGCACACCTAAGTATCAAGTAAATACAAGTGCTCAGTAAGTGTGTTTATGTGCATTGCTGTGTGCTTTTCTTTCTACATAGGATAACACCCTGAAAACCTATGAAGTGAGTGAGCAGGGCTCTCCTAGGAGGCTACTTGCAATTCTTAAACAAAAATGTTCAAGCCTTGAGTGACCAGTAGTTTCCTGGAAGGGTGAAGGTTGCACCTAATATAAACAAACTACAGTTGATGCTGTGTGTTTGCCTCTTGAAACAGAAAAATAATCCTTGAAGACGAAGAGTTGAAGCATTTGAGATAGAGGATTCTGTACTGATGTTTGTGTCAATTAAAGAAAATGGGAACAATGTCTTCTGGACCATAATACAACCATTTCAGCTTTAAAAGTACTGAAAAATAACGAAAAGGGTACTTAGTCTTAGCTGTGCGGGACAAATGCATAAAATTGATGTTGCCAAAGATTCCTCAAAGAGAAAGGAAATAAGAGTTGCCATAATGACCTTGTTGCCACCAGTGAATAGATGTCTATATGTATTTTTGTTCCTTTTTGTCTGATTTTTTAGAAAAGTCTATTTGTAGTCAACATTGTGTGCTCTTGAAGAGTTGCGTACTAAAGGAATTGGTTGAATGCTTGCACCAAACCACGTTTTCTCAGAAGATGCTGATGCTGAATGATGTGCTTGTCCTTAGAACTTATTGATTCCACCAAAACTTCCAGAGGGAATTGGGCAAGTGGGAAAGCTGCCTATATGGAAGAGTAGTCCTGGCATCCTGGTTCCACACCCAGTTTAAGAACGGGAAGTCCCAGGCTCATAAGGAGCTTGTTTAGTTAAATGCTGATGTTCAACCTCTTTTCAGGCAGCCCAGTTCCTTTGGTGCTTGTGTAAGTTGAAAAATAAGAGAAAGCAAAAAAAAACCAACCCCAAACCCAAAAACCAATAAACTCAAAAAAACACCCAAGACTTACTCAGTTCTTCTGAAATATGGAAAAGTGAAACATTGAATTTTTTGCCATGTTTTGAACTTTTAAAAAAATTTAAAATGGCGCTCCCCTCACCCATCGGAAAAAAACCCCAAAGTGATAGTTTGGTTTTTTTTGTCAACCAATTCTGCTTTCTCCTGCAATGTTTGGTGTTGACGGTACTGGCCATTCTTTATTAGGAAAGGAAATAGAATAGAAATGCAAATCCATAACTGAGACAGATTTTCAGGTAAAAATAGAGTGAAGCAAAAATGATTAAGTAACAAAAACATAATAGATAGGCTTTCGCTGTGGTAAGGATTTTTACCCTGTGTTGAGCCTTCTGGAATGATACAGCTGGGTGTTGACTTGTATCCATGGTCATAACACAGACAGGCCGGCCAGCTGAGATAACTGTTAACACTGGCATGCAGATACAGAGTATGACTGTATCTGTCAAGGGGGAAATACTCTGCGTACTTGATTGATTATTTTGGCACAATAATCCAATGACCTGATGTATTGTAGGGAAGGGGCAGGGAGGTTCTTTATGTGTATTTGGGTCATTGTGACAGAGGGAGGAAGATTTTTGCTTTAATGCTGAGTAATTTGAGAGTATTTGAATGAAACAGGTCAGCGTGTTGCATGGGCTCACCGGATTAAGCAGTACAGTAGCAGGCATATAAAGCAGGTGGCAGATGAAGAATAATCTTTTTTTTCTTAATTTACTGAAAGTGGTTTCTGTTCAAAATCAAGAGTTGCTCCATTTTTGGTGTCTTCAGGTGCAGATTTTAAACTCCTTATTATGTTGTTTATACTGCACATTTTAGCTATACTGTTTGACCAGAACAGCTATTTTTCTTTTTACGTTGCCCTCTTCTCCCCTCCCTTTCTCCCCTAGACCCACAAGAAATGGAGCAAGGGGGATGGGACTTGAGGTCATCTACTGCTTGTAAAAGCTCAAGAAAGTAAAGCCGATTAGATAAATTTCATTCGCCGTAGAACTGGAAAGGAGGCTTTATGTTATTCTGGTATTAACAGAAAAGAAAAATTGTGGGGGTGAGGAATTGCGTTGGATTATGAGTCAGCACATGATGAGTAGAGCACTATGAAGCCTGTGGGGTGACTGATGATTTTACCCCCACTTCTAAAGTTCTTCCATTAGCTAGGGGGATCCCACATATGCAGATTTCTGCAACCTATATTAGCAATTACCTCCTTCATGGTCGTGCATCTATATTCGTGTTTTATACAGTGCAGTAAAATAACCCTTTGTCACTACTTGCACTCCTGAATCATCCGCAGACCTCCTTCCCTGTCTCTGAACAACCTTTTCAAGAAGTTGGTGGAGAGTGGGAAGACATTTTTGGATCTGTGCGTAATTAATACCACGTCTGCTAATCATAATCAGTTGGCTGAATCACTTTCTTGTAATGAACTGTGCTACCATATCTAAATTATCAAAGAAACTCTTCGGTTTATATTTTTCTCATTATTGGTGTTTTTTATTTCTCTTAAGGTTGTTTTACAACAGTAGCTTGCGTAAGCTGCTGGCAGGACATAACATGTTAGGAAGGCTACCAGATCGGCTCGAGCGAACACAAGTGGAGGTCCTGGACGTGCAACACAACCAGCTCCTTGAACTGCCATCTAACCTGCTTTTGAAAGCAGACAGGTAATTATAAAGAAATTTCATCTTTTTGACTTGAGCGTGATGAACCTTGCTTTGTGTGTTACTTCCTGACTCAAAGGGTAATCTGAGGTTCCCCTAATTTGAAAGTTGCCAAACCTTGTGTGGTAAGAACACATGTCTGTCCAACTCACCAAAACATATTCTTTTTATTCTGGTTTCGTTGCCTTATATGGTTGCTTCTTTTTTCCCACCGAGCTCCTACTGAACACCTACTTCTTGAAATCTAACTGTAAAGTGAAGCACATGCTATTTTCTACTACATACACTGAGATGGTTTAGTGGCAGTTTCTTTAAATACATATTTCTTAGTCTTGTTTGATGGAGTGTGAAAGCTTTTTTTCTGCCTTCAGTCAGAGGCTAGAACTTATTTATACCTGTCAAACAAAACAAAATCTCTGCAAAGGGCTGTCAGAATAATTCAGTTATTCCCCTGTCCTTGCTTTGTGAATTTTTTTTATACCTTTCAGATATTTGTCACTAATTTAGTTGGTGTCACCACTTGATCTGCTTTCTGGATTCTTATTTTTATGCTGCTGTTTCTTTAATATCAGGGTCTTCATAAGTTTTTTTCCTGGGTATGAACATATCCTTTAGGTGGCTATGATTGAAATATAGGGGGATGGTGGATAGGCTGGCCCTGCTTGGTGTTGGTGTTCCTTGCACCGCTGCGCTTCCACATATAGTCATGGGATTTCTGAGTGCTCAACACATGCATAATTTAACAGACAGTGAGATTGTGTGCTATGGGGTTTTATTTTTGATCCTAGCTGTGACAAAAGAAGTGCATAGCTCCTGGCTTTTTTGAGAGGTGGAGAAGCAACAAGGGGGGGGTGATCTCACTGGCAGAGCTCCTCTCCCAATTACAAGTATTGCAAACCCCCTGCTTTTATACTGTTGTTAATTCTTTTGTGTGCCTCTGGTTAAATTTCCCAGAGAATTAGGTTGGTGGTTGAGATGCTTTTTAAATAAACTCTTTTAACTGTCCCAAGTTGAAATTCATATCTGTTCGCTTGGAAAGGATAGAAAACGTAAAGTAAGTTTCAGAGAGCTACTGGCATATTTGAAAGCAAAAAGAGAAATCATTTTGTAAAATTTCTATTAAAAGCAGGTTGTACTTCTAGGATGTAGTTTAGTGCAATTTTGGCATAGAGAGAAACTAATTTTTTTGTACTGCAGCTCATCTGGAGACAGCTTTTTTTTTTCTTGTGATGCCAAATTGAACAAGTACAGGCTAAAACCAGGATTGGGAATAGATTCCCAGAAGTTTGGTAGAAGTGTGCTGAGAAGAGCTAGAATTAAAGAATATATTGAATAATGGTGTTAAATTCGGGCTTGGGGATTTTTTTCCCCTCTGCAGCTTTTGAGCGGTACAGGGCACGTGTTTTCCAAGTCTTTTACAGGTCTTAAAAAGTCACGCACCATCATAGGAGATAAACAGAGTTTACCCATTCTGGCATCTCATCACCGCTGCAGCCTCCCTCCTTGTGATGATAGTAGAAGCAGCTGACTTGGGTAGGGTTTTCCCCATTGATCCCTACTCCTTAATTAGTTTAGATGACATGGCTTGGAAATGGTTTGTCCATGCTGGTGCTCCTGTGACTGCTGCGAAAGTGAGAACTGTGAAGGAAAACAGCAGTACAGATTAGTAGATTAGTGTACAATGTCAGAGCTTTAAGTTTGGAATTTCCTACAGGAAAGATCTTCCTTTTTATTTTGTTTTCAAATACTTGCATCTTGTCAGCAGCAAAGTGTCAACAGAAATAGGTCTGGGCCAGGAAAAGATGTTCAGGGGATTGTTTTGTTTTAAAAAGGTAAAATGATTCTCTTCTCCAAGCATTCCCTGGGTAGCACAATCTGTACTGCCAGACATGCCAAGAGAACTGGTTTTCCTGAGTGGTCTGCTGTGGTCTCTACCCAGCGTGTGATATTAGACAAATTACTTTACCTTACAGAACCTTTATCTCTGCATAAAATGACTTCCCTTTTGCAGCCTTGGAAAGATTAGTTTTGGGTTTTTTTGAAAGGTAGTCAGATCTGTGCAACTGACAGATGATATCTTGTCTGGATATGAAGTCTCATGCTGTGAATTATAAATGCTTTTCTTTCTCAGTCCTGAATATTTGACAAAGTGGGTGTGAAGAGCCTTGGGCGAACTTCAGCTCAAGTGCTGGTGGGCTTTGACATCTAGAACATCTGAGGAAGGGAAGGAAATTGGTGCATTGGTGCATGAAGAGAGAATATCACTTCTACCAAAAAAACTCTGAAAAAAATACTGAAAAACCTCAGTTTTCATCATGGAAGAATCTATGAACATTGATTTTCTACCTTAATCCTTAAAAAAAACAAGAAGGTGTAATTTTCTGCTGAAGAGTATAATTAGGGATATTTTGTGTGTCTGCTTTTTAATTAATTATTTTTTTAAAACTGTTAGTCGAGGAGAAATTGAGGACTAGCCTGTGAAACATTTCTCTGACCAAGACGGAACTTGGTTCTGTTTATTGCACTGAAAGTATGCACATCTTGATCATGTTAGCAAGAACTTCTCTTGTAGGGTGGGGATTTTCTTGGCAAGATGAGTACCACAGAGGCAGCCAGATAATATCTTCATTTCTCATTACCATATGCTGGAAAAACAGAGAATTCATGCAAGTGCTACGGCTGATGGGGAGAACTCCCAAACTGAGTCCTGAGCCTTTAGTCGTGCACCTGCATTCCTGAAGCCTTTTGTTTCTATCCACTGCTGCCTCTGTTGTGATGCCTTTTCCACTGTCTGATTCTTAAACAGACTTTTTACTGCCTTCCTTGAGCAGCTTGCAGCAAACTACCATTTAATGGCATCGAAACTGTTGTACAAAGTGCTCTTCAGATTAGACTAGTAAGCATTCGAGAGCTTTAGCTGGGCATGGTAGAAAAGCAGTGACAGTGGTCAGGGAAGGGTTAAAAATGGGGGCACAGTGTGAGAAGGGCAAGGGTTTGCCTTTTGCCTAAGCACCCTTTCCAGTAAAAATGGCTGTTTGCAGTATAAACCCTTAAAAGAGCCATGAGACTACTCAAAGCACTTGTGTGGTGAAGATGTGTAGCTGTGATTGCACAGCTTAAACCTTGAGCTTTGTTTTGCAGTGTCTGGTAGCGACCAGCTGTGGTGGCTAAGCCAGTGTCAGCTATTCAGAGCCTGTCTAGGATCTGTCTGCGTGATTCTTATTTTCAGCTTTGTTCAGCTGTTCTTATCTCATTTGATTTTCTGTATGTTTTGAATTTATTTTATTTAATTTGTTTGGGGTTTGGGTTTTTTAGCTGGAGTTCTGGAAGGTGACACAGTTAAACTTGCTCTTGTTTGATATTTGCCATTTCCACCCACTGTGGCTGCTTCTTTGTGATGCAAGTATTCAGTCCTATCCTGGATGCTGGGGAAGTGTGAGGGAGGGAACAAAGTCAAATGAATGCCAAGTGCTGTTTGAGTGTTTGATGCACATTCTTGTGTTGCAGAAATGCTTAACTGCATTTGTCTCTTTGTTGATAGGTCAAGGATTTGCAAGCAGGTACGTTAGAAACTGAGGAAATCCCAATTAATAGAACAGTTAAGATAGGTTAGAAAGTAAAAGCTGTGGAGACAGCAGCAGTTAAGTGTTTTTTTTTGGCAGTCCATCAACAGGAAGGGGATTCACTTGAATGTTTCCTTTCTTTAATTTATTTTATTTATTTATTTTTTAAAGAAGAAATACCCTCTTTTGCATAGGCTGGCAAAACAGCCTTGATGATTTTTTTTATCCTCTCTTTTTCCCCCCAGACATGCTTAGCATACAGGATTCTTCCTGGCATGCCTGCTACCACAATCATAAATTATTTTAGTATTAGGTGACCAGAAATTGAGGGCATGTCTCTGCAGAAGGCAGCGAAGAAGAAATTTTGTATCTTGATTGCTCTGTACTGATGGAGATCTTGGGGCATAGGTCAAACTGGAAATCTTGATTTCTCTGCATATTCTCTTTTTACAGCTGCAGTGTTCTTTCCAACTCTTATCAGTACTTTCGAGCTAAACACAGTGATTTTGATTTACTGCTGCTTCACCACTGAATGCAGTTGTCTCTGTTCCTCCTTGTCAAATGTTCCTAAGCTTTTTAGAGAACTTATATTTTTTTCAGTGGTGACTGTGTCTTACCAGCAAGCCAAGTTTGCCAAGCTACCTCAGAAAATGATGAGGAATTGAGAGATGCTGTATTTTCACAACTGTCTGATTTCAGCTTTTGTGTGTGCTGGAGGTAGGCATTGGTGACACTGGTAGGCAAAGGTCAAACCTTGATCAGAATCCTCTGGGTATAAATAGGGAATGCTTGTGGCTGCATTTTAGGTCTTTTTTGTTGAGTTAGATCCATGTCCTTGATTCTGGCCTATTCTTTGGACAGTCCTTTTTCTTATTTTGCCTCTTGGAGAAGTTAAATCCAGCAAGGGACTGTACTTCAATACCTCATAAAACCAAAGGTGACTTACTCCAGCCAGGGATTACTGTTTATATTATAACACCAGAGCAGAATATTCACCTTTTCAAAGCTGAAGAATTCTGACATCTCCCTGCCAGCGCCTTCATTTCTTTCTTAATCTCCGACGCTCTTCTAGTACTTGTTAATTCATGCTTTCTTCTCTGTATTATACTCTGGTATGTGTGCAGGCTGCTGAATTCAGGTCTTTGTAGTGATGCTGTAGTTTTTTTTCATGAGCTTGTGGTATAATATGTGGGTGGAATTGGAAAGGGAAACAATTAATTTTGGACTGAGCTTTAATACTTGACATTCTGCTTCCATCTGATAAGCAGTATGAGTGGGATATCTTCAAGGAACATGAATCAGTTTAAGTCCATACACAAGAGAGATAGGAACAGTTGTGATTAAGTAAATTTCCACTCCTCTGGAGGGCATTTACAAGATGTGCCTTCTAAGGTAGCAGCTGGCACATTGCACGAGGATGAACAAATAGGGGAGTGGAAATAACCTGGAGGAGGACTTTTGTGTTAAATCAGTGTGAGGAGAAACCTTATGGGCAAGTACAATTTTGGGTGTTGTTGGGTTTTTGTTGGTTTCGTTTGTTGTTGGTTGGGTTTTTTGGGGGGTTGAGTGTTTTTTTGTGTTTGGTTTTTTTGTTGTTGGTTTGAGGGGTTTTTTACATAAGATTATAGCATAGAATTGAGAAATTTTTGGCAGTAGCAGTCTGCTGGTTCATTCTGTTCTTTGGCCAAAGAATGGTGTTCCTTTTTAATTTTATTTTTATTTTTAAATACAGACAATATCTTGAAAGAATTATAATTTCAGAATGTTTTTGCCATTTTAATGCAACAGCTGGTCAAAAGGACCGTGTAAGCAAGCAGCATAGTTATTTCTGAAAGTTAATTTAGTTCTGTCATCTACAGACAGAGATTAGTGTGTAACTATTCTGAATCTGACTGTCAGTTGTTTAATGAGAGATACCCTGCTACCACAGGGTTCCCGTTCCAGGCTGCTGGCAAGATTTTTGCTGGGCACCTAAACTTTGTTCACAACAAGACACTAAACTGTCGGTTAGAATAATGAGGATTTATTTCCAATGTTGTTGTATCACTCCCTGGAAGATTTGGCAAAAGGGCAGGGTTGGGGAGAAGGGGGTGTGTGTGCAGAGCATCAACTTTCCTCTCTCCTTTCCCCTCTGGAAAATACATGCATCAAAACTGATTTCTGGCAGGAATACACAGATTCCATTCAGTTTTAGTACCAGTGAGGGAACAACTTGAAATTTCTTGTTGTATTCCACCAATGTTGAAAGTTTATTAAAAACAGAAGAATGTTCGATTCATTTTTCTTTCGAATTTAAAATGGCTTCAGTAAGGTACACTGTATTAATTTCAGCATTATCAGAGCAATGTACCTTTTCTTACTTGAAGCTTTTAGTTGTACTTTGGGCTAGCTGTTCTTGAGCGAACTTCATAGCCATAGGTTATGATGCACTCTAGGTTACCTCTTTGGCTCCTGGTATCTGTGAAACACTCCAGGTTATTCTCCTGTAGCTTGCGAGAACAAAAGTAAAACACAGATTGTTCTTCAAGGTAGCAGAATATGACCTTTCTTGGGGGGTGTTTTGCTGCCACCTCCTCATCCCCATCATATGCTTGTGAAAACTCACTTTTCCCAGCAGCCTTAAACCTGTTTATTACTTAAGCCTTTCCAGACTGAGCTGAAGCTGATAATTTTGTACTATGAGTGGTACGAAGGGTACTGTGTCTTTAATGTTAGTCAAGGTCCCTTTTTTGTGGAGAGGGAAGACTATCATGCACATTAGATCGAAGTTGCCGAAGTAGTAGCTGTCTGTACTTTTAGCAATAGGTGTACTTGCTGGTGTTTAATTAAGTACAGGATCTGTTAATGTGCTATGCTTCAGTTTAGTGATCCAAATTCGAATGAGCTTAATATATTTTTAGCTTGTAGCTAAAGGGTGAAATTGAGCAGCATCTTTTTAGAATAAATAAATAAATTTAAAACCCTTTCAGCTGCTTATTCCCTTCTCTATATTAATCCTTCCTCTCCTCCCTTCCTCCTCTGGATTTTTAACACCCTTGTGAATAATGAATGAGCCTGAGGATTAAACTGTGTTTCTCTGAAGTGGACTCCTCTGTCTGTGTAAAACAGCTAACCTAGTTTCAGTTCTGTGCAGTGTTGAGAGATTTTTGCTTCTAATGGAAATAGTGGGGTTTTTTTAATCCTTTGGCATTCCACGTGACTTCTGTAGCATGTTTGACCCTTATTTACTGCTGAGCAAGTTTCAACCAGCTGCTACCCTTGCAAATCCATTTCATTCATTAATAGGCCTTAAAGGTCAGTGTGGACTCCCATGTGCATGGGAGCAGCTATCAATATTTTATCACTTTCTCTTAAGATTGACGGGAACACACCTACCTTTTGTGTCCTGATCAGTGGCTGTACAGGCTTCAGACAGCACATTTATGAGTCTCCGTTGTTGAACTCGGCTTTACCCGTTGCAGCTGCCCATTCCCGTTGTTTGGTAGGAGCAATATGGCCTGGTCTGAACGTGGTTGCTGCAGACTGGCAACACACACTTCTGTATCGCTCTGAGGGAGCCGTTTCTGAAAACGGGAGGAAGGGAGGTCATATTTCTGCTGAAAAGGCACGGTTATGCCAAAGTTGGTTACCAAAGGATAAATAGTTTATTTTTCCATGTCTTTGGAATAACTGGTGTGAAGTCTAGCCCTCAAGATACCTACACTGCTGCTGTGATCACCTAACTCCCCTAACAAACATGAATCCTCTGCCCACAGAACTTCACTGGCAGGAATGGGCAGTGCCTATACCTCAGCAAGTCTTGTTCCTATCCTGGAAAAAGTCTTTTGGGGGAGAAAGAATAACTCCATTTCTGTGCTTCTTCAGTCCTTGCTGCTTGCAGTGGGACTGCAAAAATATACTTGACATGGGCTTCTGCTGCTTTGAGGAACAGGGGAAGGGCACTGAGAAACTACATAGAGATCTGGCTGTCTTGCTGTGCCCATCAGCAAGCAAGTATATAACTTTTTAAATTTAATTAGCTACTAGCACTGTCTCTCTTTAAAATCTGAAAGGCAAATTACTGCTTCATCTCAGGCTTTGTTTTTTGTTGTGCTTGGTACATCTTTAGCTATCCAAATATTCAAAGAGTACTTTTTCATATTTCATAGTTGCTTTCAGGCCTGCAGGTTTACACAAAATACTATCTGCACCCTAGACAGTATTTAAAATACTGAAACGTTGGCTGACTTTTTTTACCATTGACTTGTTTAGTCACTTAAAAGGCAGCTATGCTCTCATGATTCGTTTATGATGAATACAGAATTCGTTTTTATGTGTAATGAATATGGAAATTATGTGGTTTATTATTGCTCTAACCTGTAGGTACGTATGTAGTAATGTTGGAGGTACTGAGGTCTTGATAACAGAATAAAGGCATTCTGACATACTCATTTTGCTGATGTTTTGTTCTTACAAATGTGGTCATTTAAAAACACAATCAGAAGTTTTGTTCTTATAGTGCTAGACTCTTGGTCTTTCTGTCTGTTGTTGTGAACTTGTTGCTTTTGACCTTTAGTTTATAACTATCTTAAGTTACCTCTTAAAAATAGAGATTTTTATTTATACTTCTAGACAAAACCTGCAGGATGTTTCACTGAACTCCCTTATGTAACTTCTCTTTGCAGCCTGAGATTTCTTAATGCCTCTGCCAACAAACTGGAAATGCTTCCTCCAGCCACCCTTTCTGAAGAAACCCACAGCATCTTGCAGGAGTTGTATTTGACCAATAACAACCTCACAGATAAATGTGTACCCTTGTTAACAGGCCACCCACACCTGAAAATCTTGCACATGGCTTACAATCGCCTACAGAGCTTCCCTGCAAGGTAAGTTTCACTGCCTCTGGCCCACTGGTGGGTGGGCATCGTGAAATATTTTCACAGCAAGAACTAAATTGCACAGAAATGTGGTGGCATAGGCTGTATTTTGAATGTAGTGGTACTGCAGTGGGTGGATTCACCTGCTTATGTCCTCTTGCACATTGCTACCCTCTCTTGCAGTACACAGTCAAGCAAGGCTGCATGTTGGTTGGTGTGTTTTAATGACGCTTGAAACTCTTTTCAGCTGGACTAATTCAGCATGGCCACGCTTTGCTTTTGGAAGTTGAGCTAGGAGGTCTTTTGTTTTACCTGTCTTGGTCACTTTGCTTACACCTGGTGGGCTTCTCGCAAGAGATTAGTGAGCATAATGGTCTGGAAATGTCTTCTCAAAGTGAACTACACTACACTAGGGAAAAATCCTCTCAACTCCTGAAGGAGATTCTGCCTTGCCAGCAATTTCTGTACTTTCAAATCACTCTGTTTTAATCAGAAATCTTTCAAGTGTAAGATGTGCTGTAAAACTGATGGGGTATGATCTTGGAAAAGAGTTGCCAATAAATAATGGAAAAGACATCTCTGTCCTTGTGTGATGTTCTGAGCATCTAGGCTTCAGTGGCAAGGGGGAGGGATGGAGATGAATTTAGGGGGAAGGGCTGAGTGGGATGCTAGACGGTGGAGGGGAAAATTTGAGATGGAATGAGAAACTGGGGTAAAACGAAAGGGAAAGAAAGGAGGAAAAAGAGTGAAAGTGAGCTGGTGAGCAGGGGCAATGTAAGCAAAGTAAGTAATCTGAAAGGTAGCATTAACAAACACTAGAAGAAATACACATTTTGTTCCACAACTATGTTAGCATCTGTGTGAGGAGAGGCAACAGGCACTGCTGTGAACAAGAGTCAAAGTCTATGATTTTGTTTTCTTAAAATAATGAAAGCCACTGCTCTTATTGCCACTTCAAAATAAAATATGCATGTCTATTAAAAGAAGAATTCTCAAATTTCTGTTTTCATAGCAAAATGGCCAAGCTAGAAGAGTTGGAGGAAATTGATATTAGTGGGAACAAACTGAAAGCCATTCCAACAACCATCATGAATTGCAGACGTATGCATACTGTAATTGCTCACTCCAACTGCATTGAAGTCTTCCCAGAAGTCATGCAGCTTTCTGAAATAAAGGTATGGAATGAATGTGCTTTGGAAGAAGCAAGCGTAATGTGATTTTACCAATTCTGTTCTCCCCTTGGGTCTCTCATTGCTATGGGATAGTATATTCTCAGAAATTATGGAGATCTGACAGCTACTTTCTCCTCTGAAGTCATATGCAAAATATTTGCCCCTGTGCAGCCTCAGAGTGAAATGGAAGAGGAGCCTCAAAATCTGATTTACGCTTACCTTCATTAGATCGTATCTTCTCTGCCAAATAAGTGTTAATTGTCTTCTTGTGACAGTCTGTTTTGATACGACTTAAACATTTGGCAAGAGCTATGGATAATTAACTGTTGCTGCCTTGGCAATTGGTTGATTGTGTAGGAATGGACTTTGTTTAGAGCACATGTTAAAAACCGCTGAAGCTACAAAATGTGATAGGCCTTGGGGACAGAGATAAATTCCAGGAGCACGGGATTTGAGTATTTAGGCAAGCTACTTTCATTTTCCTAATTGCAGTCATATTTTGTACAATGGGGAGAATACTTAATTCATTTCTTGTATGTGTTTCCAGAAGTAATTCTATACGTTTCCTGACACTTCTTTTTGTGGGACACATTCTTTGCTTGACCACACTGATGAACACTGCCGCTTACCTTTTGTGAATCGAGTTTCTGCTTCTCACCTGACTAGTGCAGAATAGTTCGCGCTGTGCGTTCTTTTCTTCTGGCCAGGGCTGGGAGACGGTTATCTCACAGCATACAAATCTTGTGATACAGCAGAAAAATCTGTCATTCTCTGAGGCTGAGAACTGATTACCTATTCATGGACTCAAAACAACTTAAGTGTCCTTCTGGCGCTCTGTGAAGTCAAAAGGCTAAGTTCCCAGCCTGACGTGTATGCCTCAGTGTCTGGGGTCATGGAAAGCAGCAGGAGCAATAATTCTGTTGGACAAGCGAGTACATGTAAAGATGAGCTTTGTGGTTTTAGCCAGGAAATCTCAAACAAACTTGTGGGTTTCTGAATACTCCTCCCTCTTTGGAACAATGGCCAGAGGAAGCAGAGGGCCATTTAGAATCAATCAGAAGTAAAGCCTTTTTTCTTAGAGGAAGAATTGGGGTGGGGGAGTGAGGCTCCGCACAGTAAACATTTCTTTAAAAAGATGAGGGTGGTGTTAACAAAACAAAAAAAAAAAGATAATGTAAACATGCTGATAGGGAACAGTCACCTTTTTCCTTTTTTCATGCATCTTGGGGAAAGCCAAATGCTTTATAGAAGCATCATGTTCAAAGTGCTACTCAGCGACATTGAGCAGCAAAAATGCTCTTGGAAGACCTAGCAGTTTCTTCCTGCTGGTTTCCTATGGTTATTTAGTTCTCTTTAGCAGAAAAAAGTGGTGTGGACGTCACCAAGTGTTTTGGGAACGCAGGGATAGCGTGTGTGGCTTCATCTGAGAGGGCACAGTGTTCTTTGACTCCACCTTTGTGGAAGGACAATGCCTGGTCAGTACTCCAGAGTTTTGACTTACATGAGATGTAAATTACCAGATGGGAATGTGTTGTGTTGGGTATTGGAGTTTTTCTGGCCTTTTGGCGGTTTCTCTAGGTCAGGGTTGGTGTTTATCAGTTTGGAATTAAGCTTGTGCTGATTGCCTATATCCTTTACTTGGCCTTACCCGAGCTCCTTCTTAGATACATGAGAGCATTGAAAATGTGCCAAAATAAGTTTGGAATTCATTGCTTTAAGTATGGATTTGGTCATTTGGTGAAATAAGCTTGCTTATAGCAAAGCACAAAATCATATAGTCTGATGTCACCTCTGTGCATATGTCATATTTGATGGTTAATTTTAAATGAAGTGTCATTCAAACACTCTAAACTCCTGGGAAAACTCTGTTACCTGAGGTAATGGCTGTTTTGCTTTTGTATTTAATTAGCCTGGGAGGCTGACATATTATGGTTTTGGTGTCAGTATTACTGGAACAGTTAGTAGCAGCAGTTACTATGCTGTCTAAAATGATTTCAGAAGAAAATTAGTATAAATGATGATGCTTTTACAGTTGCAACAACTCCAGGATTTCCAGACGCAAGGTCATTTTGGCAATATAATTTACTCTAAGCCTTTTTTACACACTTTTTTATACACTCTGTAGCCTTTTCCAAGGCCACAGAAGTTGTGTTGCCCTCTTCTAAAGAGCCCAGGGGACGTCTCTGAAATATCTTGCCCAATACATTTTTTTAGGGTTTTTATTTTTTTTTATGACAGGTATTTATACTGTCAGGTTTATCTCTGTGCACTGAAATATCTTCTGTGAGTGGCTGAGCAGCTGGAAGCACACACACCTGAGTCAATGCCCCAGTAGACACTGCCTTGCAGCTGTTGTTTGACTGCAATTCCTTGCCTTAGAAAATAAAAAGGATGCTTTTGAAATGGTTATCCATTGTCCTGGTGTTCTTGTGCACTCAAACAATTGACTAGTCCTTACTGCTTCTGTAGAGTGTAGCAACCTGGGCTTGCTTTTCCCAGCCGGAACCTCACTTTACTTTATCATCCAGTTTTTGTTGACTGATGAGTTGCTTTTATTCATGGTTGTCTTGCTGGGCTGCTGTGCTGAGGGTGATACAGAGGTTTTTTTGTCACCATTTTTGATCAAGCTTATCTTTTGCAGGATGATTACGTTGAGATCTGAAATAAGTGAAGATCTAGTAGCAGTAACACCTTGAAAACAAAACTCTTGATCTTTGGTAGTTTTTCTCGTAGCTAAACAGGTTAATATGGGTATGGTTACCTTCAGTCACAACTGGAAATAACTGAAGTCCCTTCCAGCCTTGAACACAGCAGTTACAAAGCTGTGGATGCAGCATAAGCAAATGCTGACTGTTAAACTCTGTCTTTCAGCTAGCCTATCAAGCACAAAATCCTGTGTGCAATTGCAGGAGTTGTTTGTCTGGTGCTGCATGGGTGGGGCAAAACCAGCTTGCATTTCATGCATGAGGAAATTGGGATCGGTTAGGATGTAGACTTTCCTGCTTGCCTGGGGAGTACAATAAGGACTAAATTTAACAGAGATCCGCAACAAGTTCCTCTTAGCCTATTCTTCAAAAGTACAACTGATACCTAAGAAAACCCAACCTGATAAATAAGCTATCTTCATAGTGCCTAGGGACCAAGGGATCTGTTGTAGAGTGTTGCTATCTTTGGCACGCTGGGCATTTAAGGAGAACAGTTAAATTATTGTATTTGTATTTTTCATTCCGGCATGCTCTTCCATCAAATTTGTAATAGCATTGAGGTGTTAAACACAGCAACTGCTGGCAGCTTTCTTAATCTGCAAAGTAATTAATGGCTCTCTGGAAGCAGCAAGAAGTTGTGCAGAGTCAAAAACCTTGCTGGAATAACTGCTGTTAAGCTGTCTACTATTTTGTTTGCGTGACAGATTTAGACTTTGATTTCCTTATCAGGCTTAGATAACGTCAGCAGTTTGTTCTTGATAGATAATAAAGCCTCCATATTAGACAATCTCGAGATTCAAGATTTGGGTCAGAAATTTATTTCCGTTGTGCTTATTTAATAAAGTGTTTTTTGAGATTTTTTGTTTCCAGAATTTACTAGGTTAATCCTATGCCTTCTTCCAGCTCAGGACCCAATGTCTTTGTATGCACCTACAAAAATGAAAGTGCCTCTCTTGTATTGATGGTCATTACGTAATGGTCAAAATGTACAGTTAGGAAAAGTCTCCCTCTGCCCCTTTCAGCTTTTTTATTAAAGTTTCTGAAGTCTTTCCCTTTTTGCAGCTTGAAAGTAGAAAATGGTCTTTCAGAAAGATGTGGATAGTTTTTCTGTCCTCTGTTAAATACCAACTTGTTCTGTCCTCTCAGAATTACATTTTTGCAGCTTTTGGTGCATACTACACTGGTCATCCTGAAACAGCATTTGGAGAGTTGATTTTGTTCCCAAATACCCTATTTTTCCTCATGTATTGACTTTCATCTGGATATGCAGCTTTAAACAATGTTTGTTTAGGGATTTTGTCATTCTAGTGCACTTGTTCTAACTAATTTGTGCTTAGCTGGTGGGTAGCCTGCAAGTTGCTCTGCTGTTTTGTATCATATTTTTCTGAAATATTTAAACTTTTTTTTCACTCATTTTATTGACTTTCTATTTAAATATGACTCCATCTAAGATGACACAAATTGAAACCATGTTTAAAACTGCATGATATTTTTTCCTTTCCCCCCTCTACTCCTCCACATACACAAATAACTCTCCTTATTTTAATATCCCTCAGTAAATACTGAACTCCTGGGAGCATGCTCATACTCATGCTGGTTTAAACTGACTTTGGAGGAGGGATTGCTATGCCCATGGCTTAGAGGCCCCAGCTGTACTTATCTCTGTTTCCTTTATCTATTAAAAGACTATTTTCATCAATAACATTTTTTCTTAAATACTTTGAAAATTCACTGACAATCTTTTTGTCTGTGAAGAGCAGACAAAACTTAGTGGTTTTGTAACAAGATGGCACCTGACTATAGATGGAAATGGAGGGAACATATTTCTGGGTGTCCCTAGCAAGATGGCTAAATGTCGAATGAATTTCTTTTGTAAGAACCACTTACCTAAATGAATGGTTGCAGCCTTTATTGATCACAAAACATCCATTACTGCATTTAATCAAAATTTGTATGATCTTGATGACAGCTGAATTCTCTTCTTTTTTGGCTGCTTTCCTTTTGCAGTGTGTGGATCTAAGCTGCAATGAACTGAGTGAAGTCACATTGCCTGAAAACCTGCCTCCAAAACTGCAAGAACTGGACCTGACTGGAAATCCCAGATTAGCCCTGGATCACAAAACCCTAGAGCTGCTGAAGTAAGTTACCTTACAGAGGGGGAAAGGGCAGAAAACCTCTGTCCCTAGGATGTGAGAAAACCACAATACACAGAAGTGTGTATCTCTCGTAAGGAGAATGTCTTCCTGTTGTCAGTGGATCAGAAGGTAACAGACTATGTGGATAGGTCAGAAATTGGTGCTTCCTTGAAGAGGATGACTTTATTTTCTCCAGTGCAATTGCTTTCAGCTGTAACTCCTGGAGGCTTCTGCTAGTCTGGGTTAACCACTATTGGGCCAGTTTGATCTCCATTTTACTTCTGACAACAGATTCAACAAAAAGACCGATTTTGTACCACTGCGGAGATGCCAGTAGCTGCCTGCTTTTTCTTTCTTCACATTTATCTGCTTGGGTCTCTTTGCCATTGTGCTCTTTTTAGCTCTTCACATACTGTTTCTTGCTACCCTTCATACCTCTCTGCTTTTGTCCTAGAAATGATACATTTTTCATATTTAAACCTCTCGTGAAGACTCACATCTCCCACTCTGTTTGCAGCAAAACTAGTTCCTTTGCTTTGGGACCCTCATTTTCCTTCCTGTTTACCTGTTTGTTTCCTGCCCTCACTTAAGTGTCATCCATAACTGAAATTCACCTTGTGCATTGTTCTGCAGTGTGTTGGGAAGCTGTTGCACTAAACCAGATCATCTGTGGATAGTGGTGCTGCCTTGACCTTTTCTTTTGTCCTTTAGGGAACTGCACCAGCTCCAGGTTTCCTTCTAAGTCTCTTCGATTCTTAAATATTGAATGGTTTCAAGGAGGATTGATTTACTTTTTAGGGGTTGATCAGTTGCTTCATGCTGTTTTCTTTTAAATGGTTAAGAGCAGACACTGGAGTAGTAAACCTCATCTGTTGTGCAAGTAAGGGAATCTTATGGTGTGAGTTTGCTTTTAGCTTGAATCAGCAGGTTTTACAAAATATAAGTGGAAATGTGAGTTTTCACAGATAAGAGTCCATGTTCTGCAGCAGACAGTGAAAAAAGGGGCATTCCTCTGTTTTAAGAGCTGCTTTATTGCATACAGGAAATCTTCTTGCAGAAGTAGTGTGTAATTTTGCTCTGGTTCATAGGGGGGAAAAGATGTGTTTTACACAGTTAATGAATTGTATCAAAACTTTAAAGTGAAATATCAGCTTTTGTCATATATAACCCAGCAGACAAGATGGGCACCCAGTTTCTTGTCATGTTAGTGTTCAGGCATCATGCATTGTAGCATTATTGTACAAATTGAAATCCTGAGTAGTTGAAGAGAAGTGTGGCCCAGTTACATGTTGTATTTTCACTGGCAAATATGTGGTTCTTAATTCACAGAAAACTTTTTTCCCCTTGTATGCACATTTTGCTTGATTATTTGTTTGGAGGGGTTGAGGGTGTTTTTTTTTTAGTTTTGTTTTATTTTTTAAAATAAATTATTCTAAAGACTTCAGATCTGTTCTGTTCACTAATATTCATTTGCTGCAGTCAGGTGTTTCAGTCTATACTGATATGCTACTCTGACTTCTATGGTATACTGCTATAATTGACTGTGAGGGAGGAGGCACTTCTTTCACTTGATTTTCCTGGCAAGCACAAAAATACTTGTGCACTTGATACTTTTTATATCTTCCTTCTGCATGTGAAAGGCAGCTCTCCATCTGTGCCCTGGCAAGATTGAAGCAGGTAGTAGGTTAATATGTATTCTCAGTGCTGGTGAGAAGAAGAGTCCTGTCATGCATGCTTGCTTTTTTAATATGTGTGGAGATCTTAAAGGATGCTTGCATGCTTAGGAGGATGTTGCCAAGGGATTTAGTGGATGTAAGAATTTTCAGTAGCAATTAAAATGAAAAAGAACAACAACAAAAAATAAATGCTGCTACTCCGATTTCTAGGAAAGAGTATCTAGTTCAATTGTAACAGTCATTTTAAATTAAGGGGGGAAATAAACCATGCTGTTCAGAAGCCTTAGCCCATATTGCCTGCATAGGATGTGCTGCTGGATATCATTCCTTTCTGGTCTGTTTGTGGTGGTGCTACTAAGGAGGCTGAAAGCAGTGCGTTAAGGAATCTTTTTTTTTTTTCATCACTGCTAGGAAGCCTTGAGACAAGTTTGGGTCCTTGACCTGCCTAGGAATCAATGGTCAGTCAATCCAGTTAAAAAAAGAAACAGAAACCTTTTTGACTCAAGTTCCTGTGCTCTAGAGATAAGTGCCTTGTGTGAGAAGTCTGCAAAGAAAGAGTATTTGCTCATGTGTGTACTTCTTTGCAGGTGCAGACAGAATTAGAATCTCTGCTACTTTAGAAGAGATCCAGCTTTCTAGTCTGATTTGGGGTTAGATAATCTCTTCTAATGCTTGTGGCAAGATGTTTGCCTCCTGTTTGCCACATGGAGGGCTGCAGAACCAAAAACTTAAAACAAAAGTGGTTCTAACATTATTTATGTAATTTGTTTGCTTTTTATCTGCCCTCGCTGATGTACATCCTGGCTATTAACATAGAAGAAATCGAACTGCACGTGACAGTACTTCAGGTTATTTGAGGAAGGCTGTGCAATGCTGAAAAGACTTTTCTGTGTGTTCAGGTCAGGTAGGGATTTGGATAGAGAAAAAATGAATGCTCAGAGTGAACAGTTAGACCTTTCTGCTTGTGTCCTTTTATGTTTCTTTTGGTTCATGAAAGGTTCAGGTGCCTTTGAAGTCTCAGCAGAGTGTGGGGAGCTCACTTTTCCTGCCTTTGGAAAAGAGCGGTAGGGAGCAGGGGGTAGGTCATCTCTCCCCAGCAAAGCAGGGCTGTGAGGAGAAGGGTATAAACAGAGAGGGCTGGGCCCTTTTTAAATCTTTACTATGCTCTGTGAGATACTTGAAATTCAGGCTAAAGGCTATGTTGGTAGTAAATTGCAGGGTAGAGGATCAAGGGCGTAAGTGAAATTGGACTGCACAACTGGGGAAGGCAGAAGGGCTGTTGCCTGCTGTCAGGACCACAGGCTGACTCTTGCAGGTTGATGCAGGACCAGGATGGAGCTGATTTCAGTTTTGTTGGTGTTTTCATGAAAGGCTGTTACTGCATGTTGTTGTTTCTAAATAATTTTTTTTCTTCCATTTAGGGGACGCTGTGGGTCATACAGGATATTTCATTTGAGTACAATGAAAAGAGTGCAGAGACTTGTTGTTAGAATGGGCGGGAGAGATGTATAAGTTAAAAAAAGTCACCCCCCTCTACTGGCTTTCATCAAGCTAGTGACAAATTTGCTTTGTATTCCTACAGGGCCAGGTTTGAAACGAATAGCTTGGGGTGAGGGCAGGGAAAGAAAAGCCAGCTAAGCAAAATAGTGCAGCTGCCACCCTCATAGAGGCTGTCAGAGGCATTGTTTGTTGTATACAGGCACATAAAGGTAACCATTTTGGATGTCCTGTTTCATTTTCTTCTATTAAATGGTATTACTGAGAACTGGGAGAGTAGAAAAAGGTATTTTCTTCACGTTTTAAGTTGAATCATGTCAGCACTTCAACCCATTGCATCTTTCCCCTTTCTTTTCTCCCTGCAGCAATATTCGCTGCTTCAAGATCGACCAGCCCTCAGCCGGTGACGCTTCAGGAGCGCCGGCAGTGTGGAGTCACGGGTACACGGAGGCATCCGGCGTTAAGAACAAGTATGACCTGGTGTGGGTTTTGTTACATGGGCACTCTAACAGCAGAGTCCCTCTATACCAAGATAAAGAAATCCTTTTTCAGTGAAAGTTTTGGGGCTCACAGAGGCAGAGGCCATGCCACAACTCTGCATTTGTATACCAAGCCCCTGCTTGGCTCTCCACTTCGGTCTTTGTTAGGGAAGTTGCTAAGATACGAGTGTAGCCGACACATTTGGTCTGTGCAAGACTCTGGTACTTGCAAAAGATTTGAGTGTTTGAAAGCATTTTCTTCTTTGCAAAGCTTCTTTATCTTCAACCAAAGGATGTTTACCAAGCAAATCAGAGATACTAAAGGAAGAGATAGAATGGCCAAAACTCTGAATATTCACAGTGTGTGACACTCCTGTGATTAAGGCAGCACTTGACAAATAATGTATCAAGAGCAATGTGATTAATCTTTGTGCCTCAAATACCTTTTGAGAAATCCTTTGCTACCCAGGTTTCTGTAGCAAGTGCCAACAAGCCTTTACCAACTGTTTAATGATTTAACACACAACTTGGTCCCAAAGATGGCTTTTAGAGGAGCAAGTGCAGTTTAAATTGGTGTTTCAGGGATACTTTCCCCCCTTTTTCTGCAAATAAGGGACTAGTTCACATGCTGAAAAGGAGGAAGAATGTTTAGGGCTTGGCTTGAACTTCCAGTATAGTTTCCTCCCCATCTTAGCACTGTTGATGGGGCTGACTTGTCTCCAATTAAACTAATTAATTTATCCACTATTAAACTAATAGTGGGATATATCCGTGATGTTCTCCTGCTTCATTTTTTCACTAGGCTGTGTGTGGCAGCACTTTCAGCCAACAACTTCTGCGACAACCGGGAGGCACTTTATGGTGTTTTTGACGGTGACCGCAATGTGGAAGTGCCGTATTTGCTGCAGTGCACCATGAGTGACATCTTAGCAGAAGAGCTACAGAAAACAAAGAATGAGGAGGAATACATGATTAACACTTTCATTGTTATGCAGAGGTGAGTCTTGGATCTGAAGCATTTTTTGCTTTGGCTGTGCTCACTGGGCAGGTTGTTTGCTTTCAGATCAGACACCTGCTCTTGCTTCAAAGAAATGTGAGGGGTGGGAAAAAGCCTTGGTATCTGGCTACAGCGTTTTCTTTTATTGCTTGTTTTGTGAATATTGCTCCCTGTTCCTTTCAGGTGTGGGGACAAAAACCCCAACACCTCCCCAGCCAAACAAGAAAAACTCTAACTCACCTGCAAAATTACTAAATGCCCATGACTAAGTGGTGGGTGGAGGTTTATTCTTTTTTTGTGTATTTTCTAAGTCTTACTGTTCACAATTGGCCATAATCAAGTCAGTGTTGTGAATGTCTTGATCATCTTTTTAAACTTCCTTACTACTGCTGCCTGAAAGTCTGGACTCACTCTTTCTGTTTCTCTGTACCAATTCGGGTTATTTAAGGCTACACAGCTATTTAAAACAGATAGTTTGACTCCTTAGAATTCCCTTTGGCCTTAGAATATCATTTGAGCAGGACCCATCCAGAGACATTGTGATACAATAGCTGTGAGTGTAATAGTAGTTTTGTGTAGTGGTTTGGAAACTGTGTGTGGTGTTCTTGACAGAAGAAGAAATTGTGCCCAGGGAGACACTGAGTGAAGGAGGAGTACAAAGAGAATTGAAGAAAGGAAGAGGTCAGGGAAACAAAGGAGAAAGCAAATAAGCAACTTAAAGACTAAGGAAGTGGATCAATTAAAAGTAGTATTGCTTATTGTTGAATTGCTGCACCTTTGGAAAGGAGAAGTACTGAAGTTGTTGTATTGGAAGAGATAGGGAAGCAGTAGGATGGTACTGAAACTTACAAACACAAGAGAGAAAACACTTCCTTCCCATAATGGCTTATAACAGGGCCTCAGAATACTAGCTGAGAAGGTGGTTGCCATATACTTAAAATATTCAAAACTAATAACAAATTTGAGTATTGAAAGTACTTATTAAGTGGTTTGTTACTAATGCAATTTCACAGAAATGTGGCATTCCTACAAAACAAGCTGCTTTTTTTTTCCTGTCTCAAATCAAAATAAGCTAACCACTTCTTTGGAGAACCAGAAATAGTATTCATTCCGGTTGCATTTAACCATTCACTGATGCTTACAGTAGATATTCAGCACTCCTAAAGCATATTTGTAAAAAATAAATTAAAAAAGCACATTGAAGCTTGGTTGCAAATTTAATCGTGCATTCTCTCCAGGATTTTGAATCAGAAGTTCTTACTAGCTATACCGAGCCTTAATAGAAATATTAGCATTAGCTTTATAATTACTAGAGGAGAAGACCCCAGTAAACAAGCTACTGGGAAGGATGAATGATTTTTCACAGTCTAGTATTGCAATTAACTTACCTTGTAATGGCAGGATTCTGAAAACTTCAATTTTATTGATAGGTTTTTTTCCCCCGCTGTGACTCCTGCTGAAAAAGCAGGCTTAAACATTTCTAAGAATATATTTAATAGGTTATTACCTGACAGCATAAACTCCTTACAGTGGAGTTCACAGCCACTGTGATTTTTTTTTACTAATAATTTGATACTTTTAACAGCATTATTCTGAAGACATCACAAAACAGTGAACCTCTGCTTTCTGTTTTTGCTCAAAAGTAAAGGTTTTTTACAGTCAGAATTATTATTTTTATAACAAAATCTGTAGCTTCAGAAGCCAAAGCTCTATCTGACCTTTAAAACAAATATTTATAAGATGTAAAGGAAAAGAGACAACTGAAATTCTTTAAAAGTACAAAGATTTTTTTTTTCTCTAAAATTGAGCAGATTTGAGTATCTGCGTATGTGAAAATAACACATTGCCTGAAAAGTTGCACGTGAGATCTCTGCAGTGCTTCTGCTGTAGTGTCACGGTCTTCAGTTGAGACTTTTGTTTCTGGCCCAGTGCTCCGATAGAGTCAATGCCCCGAATGCTTGTGGAACAGCGGCTCTTTCTCCGTAGTACCCCTAGCACTTGTTTTCCCGTTAAAGAACAATCATTGTTTTGTTTAATTCCAGGAAACTTGGAACAGCTGGACAGAAACTTGGAGGCTCTGCTGTCCTTTGCCATATAAAACATGATCCCATGGACCCTGGTGGATGCTTCACGCTAACCTCAGCAAATGTGGGGAAGTGCCAAACAGTTCTTTGCCGGAATGGGAAACCTCTGCCTTTGTCCAGGTGTTACGTGATGAGTTGTGAAGAAGAGCTGAAGAGGATTAAGCAGCATAAGGCCATTATCACAGAGGTTAGAGAACAGCTGGGACTGTTGCAATTTGCAGCTTCCTTGAAGAGTATTTGCACAGCAGTGCATGAAATTACATGTTGATATTAGTAACCTCTAGGAGGTAGTGTTCATGTTATGGGTTCCAGATTTGCACTTTTCCTTTCAAGGTGATTCATACCATGCAATCAGGTTGCTTTTCCATCCCATTGCCATGCAAGATTTTGATGACCTTCTGAGAGTGAGCAGTTTTAAGTATGTTGCATTGGAACAGGAAAGCAGACACCCTCCTCCCAATGGGAGAGGAATTGCTGTGTTGGAGCTGTCATGATAAGCCTCTCCAATTGAAAAGGATGAGAGGGCAGAGCACTTGGAGCAGTGCTGTCCTTCCCTTAGGAGACTCCTTGCTCCCGGCAGGCTGACTTTGCTGTCTGAGCTTCTATGTTCCCAGAACTGCCCTTTGACAGGCTGCTCTTGAAGAGAGCACTTGCCCAAAAGGAAAACTCACTCTGTGCTCAGCTGAACCACAAGAGAGGATAAAACTATTTGTTCCCTTCTTAGAAGCTTGAAGCCACTGCTGTCAGTTTTGCTTTGCTTTGTGTGACACATGGATAAATATCGAGTCCTCCTAATGGTGGAGGAAAGGGCAGAAAACTCAGTGCTGTGTGCCTGAGAGCAGAGTGTGCACGTGTGTGTGTAGGGATGTGTGTGTGTGTGTGGAGTAAGTCATGTGCCTATTGATCTTGCCAGGGAAAGGTGACGACTGGGATCTCAAATGTGACAAGTTGAAAGGGAGTCACTCCAACGTAGTGTGCATCACCGAGGCATGCTCATTATGTTGTTCTGTGGAGGAAAAGGGAGATTTCTGTGCTGAATCTTAAGATGACTCACTGATTTCATGTGCTTTGATGGCTTATCACTGCTGTCAGCCTTCTAATGGGAAAGTTAACAAGCCAACATGGGGTTTTATTTCTTCTGAGTGGTTTTAAAGAAGAAGCTTTTTTAGTCTTGGTTCACTTTTCTGTGGTTATCTGCTTTATAATAAACCCTACAGTTATTAGCTGGACCCAAAGAGTGTAAATCCTCAACCTTTACTGTGCTTCCCAAACACACAATTAGGAGGGTGCAGCTATCCCCACCAGGCTGACAGATAGCTAGGCTTGCTGTTTCAGACATTTGCTCTGCTTATTCTGGCAGCTTAGATTCTAACCAGGACAGGATTCTGGGATTTGGACGTGCATGGGATTTTTTTTCTCAAATGCGTCCATTTTTACTGATGTTTTCCCTTCAGATACTACTCCTCCTCCATTTGGAAATGTCATATCTAAGTGGAAATGTAGTAAGTAATTGGGGCATGTAAAACATTTCACTACAACTCAGCTGACTGAGACATGCAGACTTGCTCTCTGCTACATTTGACTTGCATGCTTCATTTAAAGTATTTTTTTAATGAACTTTTGTTTTTGAAGTGATGAGCCAAGATGAAACCTACGATTGTTACAGCTGCAAGAGAAGACTCATAACTGAATGACCTGCCCCTATATCAAATGGAGCTGTGTGTTGCTTTGCTCTGTATAAAGCCAGATATCATGGGTGGAGGAGGGATAAGTCTGACTCACTAGTAAAACATTTGTCCAGTTGGCTCTTGCAGCTGCAGGGCCAGAATAGATGGCTCTTTGTTGCAGCCTTCTGCTTTGTTGGTCTGTGCATAGGTGATGCTGATGACAAATCAGTCAGGTGTAGGAGGTGTAGTGCAGGATTGCAAAACAGCCTTTGCTGTGCTCTGATCCCAGCTCTGTCTCTCTTTGCAAGTTACTTTGCTTTTTTGTCTCCTTAAAATGGCGCTATAAATGGCAGCATTGGGGGTACTGCAAAAACAGCCATCAATAAAATGCAAGGAGATGCAGGTACTGTGTATCCTTGTCTGTCTCGTTTCCAATTTCTTGTCCTTTCTAATTTCAGGATGGTAAAGTGAATGGTGTGACAGATTCAACAAGAATCTTGGGGTACACCTTCCTTCACCCAAGTGTTGTGCCGCGTCCTCATGTCCAGTCCATCACCTTAACTCCACAAGATGAGTTCTTCATTCTGGGAAGCAAGGGGCTGTGGGACAGCCTCTCGATGGAGGAAGCAGTGGAGGCAGTCAGAAACGTGCCTGATGCGCTGGCAGCCGCGAAGAAGCTTTGCACTTTGGCCCAGAGTTACGGCTGCAACGACAGTATCAGCGCTGTCGTGGTGCAGCTCAATGTGACGGAGGACAGCTTCTGCTGCTGCGAACTTAACGGGGTCCCACCCCCCAGCCCAGGCATTTTCCCCCAGTCCGTCAATGTGGTCATCAAGGACAGGCCAACAGATGCGCTTGGGATGCCGTCTTCAAGCAGCGGTATGGCTTCAGAAATCAGCAGCGAGATCTCCACCTCCGAAATGAGCAGTGAGGTGGGGTCCACAGCCTCCGATGAGCCTCCCCAGGTAGCCATGAATGAGAACAGCCCGGCCTACCCAGGGGAGCAGCGCTGCATGCTGCACCCTGTCTGCCTGTCCAATTCTTTCCAGCGGCAGCTCTCCAGCGCCACATTCTCCAGCGCCTTCTCTGACAACGGCCTTGACAGCGACGACGAGGAGCCGATCGAGGGGGTGTTCACCAATGGCAGCCGCGTGGAGGTGGAGGTGGACATCCACTGCAGCCGAGCAAAGGAGAAGCAACTGCTCCAAGTGCCGGTGGAAGCCAGCGACGAAGGGATCGTCATCAGTGCCAATGAAGATGAGCCCGGCCTTCCCAGGAAAGCTGAATGTTCTGCCACAGGCACAATAGGGCGTCGGCGGGGCAATGGTTCTGTGGCACCACACGAGAGGAGCCATAACTTAATTGAAGTTGCAACGGATGCACCACTCAGAAAAACTGGGGGCTACTTTGCTGCTCCAGCACAGCCTGATCCTGATGATCAGTTCATCATCCCACCAGAGCTTGAGGAAGAAGTGAAGGAGATTATGAAGCAGCACCAGGAACAACAACAACAACAACAGCAGCAGCAGCAGCGGCAGTATCCAATGGACCACCTGGCAGACTATTACGATACACCACTATGACCCACTCTATTCACTGCTCAGAAATAAACTAACAAATAAGGACACTAGAGTGTGAGACCCAGTGGGCTTGCATTACAGCAGGGGTTTTCCTTATCCTTTTCCTTTATATACTTCCTTTTCCTTATCCTGCCACTACAGATAACTGCAGCTTTTCAGTTTGTTAGGTTTAATATTCATTGACTTTCTTCTAGAGACGCTTGACTGGTAAAGTTTAAAATAGTTAATCTTCCCTTAACATATCAAGTGTAAAAACAGAAAAACAAAAAAATAAAAAAAATAAAAAGGTTTAATATATTGCTGAGAAACAGATGATGATGTAATATTTTTTAAAATGGCTTGTTTGTTTTGTTTGAAAAGCAGGGCAGTAGCCAGTGCTAAATGATTTAAGTAATATTGTAATACTGTATTTCTTTGAGAGAAAAGGCTTTTTTTGGTCTTGAAAATGATAGACATTTGTAGAATATGGAGACTAACTCCTAGGAGTTGCTTTACTCTTTCAGGTGACTTAAGTCACTGAGATTCACTAATTTTCTCTGAGAGAACAGTTGATTGGGAAATTCCTGTAAATAGCTCAGTGTTGTATAGTGATGCTTACATGTTTTGTAGCCTTGGCATTAAGGACACAACCCGAAAAACTGACCTTTTTTCTTAAGCGACTCTTTGGGCCGTGGTCACGGAGCGTGAAGGACTGCGTGGCTGTGTACAAGTTAACTAGAGCCAAGGTGGTGTAGACTGTTTATAGAAACCCACTTTTTCCTCCGGTCTCTTTCTTTCCTTACTTTTACAGACACGTTTTGTTTGTGTTCCTTACTGCTGCCACAACCAGCATGATTGTATAGAGCTCATTTGCTGTAGAACATTTACATACCAAGAGTTATATTAAAGCCGAATGCACAAATGAACATGTCATAATTTTTGTTATAATAAATATAAAATTTACACCTGATGTCTGCTTTTATGTCTGAATAGCTGAGCAGCAGCTCTCAAGGGGTAGCTTGCTGTGGCTTATCAGTGTGCTGCTCAGTTAAACCAAGAAGTGTCGAAACTTTTTCAGCTTGATCACATTTTTACACTAACTGCAGAAGCGCACGTGTACTTTCAGAATTTAAAGACCACACAAAGTGGCCTTTAAAAGATAAGAAACAACTCTGAGGAATTGATCTGTTTCTTCTTTTCGTTGTCAGTACTAGTTCAGCACTATTGATTTGCCCTTTGCCACAGTATTGACAATTCCAGAAGACTGAAGAGGAGTGGTGCTCTGGCTGTATGCCACTGGGACTGAGTGGCTGAAGATAGAAATGATGAAGGGATAAAAAAAGGGAGAAGAAAATATTGGATACAGAGAGAAGAGGGGAAATTATAAGGAGAAGGCAGAAAAGTGAACTCAAAACTACCTACACAAACTCAGATTTGCTTGACTGTGCTGAATGAACATGAGTTCAATGGCAATCAGACTTTGGTAGCAAAAGGGCATCTTTTTGTGATTCCTGTGGGAAAGGAGCAACACCCTTTTTCAGTATTGCCTCTAACCACCTCCTCCATTTCACTTGTCACTCTTTAAAAAGCTGAATTAGTATGCAATCATGACAGTGTCTTGCTCCTGCTTGGCATTTGGTCTGTATTTTGGGAGAGGATTGTGGTAAAAGGCTGTTGTCCTTACTCTGTTCTAGGGTGGAATAGCCCATTTAGAACAGGATTACTGTTAACAAGAGATTTTTAGTTCCTTTTACTTAAATAATAACAATAACAACACAGGAGCAAACATTAAAATACCTGGTTTGGTAAATGTTTATAGCACTGTCTACTGTAGATCTAGAAGATTGTACTTCATTGTAATTTGAACTTCAAAATATCTTTTTAAAGAAAACTCATTAAATAATGTATTTAAACAAAAAAAAGTTCATGGTTTATTGGCTAGTAACTGCTAGGTGTTCTTTGGTAAACGGTTTGTATATTTCAAATTTTGCTGAACTGATTCATTGTCCTTGGAAAATGTTACATCTTTTTTTTTTCCTTCTATTCAAGTGCTGCTTGAGGCTAAAGGTGATAACTAGCAAGGACACTATCATGGCCTAGGCAAGTTTAGGGTTTCCTGAGCCAGGTGGAAAATTCTCTATATCCTAAAAAAAACCCAAAACACAAAAAAAACCCTCAAAAAAGGCAGTTCTTTTCCTACTACTAGTGGAGGAGTAATCTGCCTGCTTCAGTCTGTGGTCTCTATTCATGATAAGGTGCCTCTGGTGTGCTGTACATGTGGTACTCCGGAGAGAGAAGCAGAGGTCAGAGTAGGGGTGGAAGGGGACCATTTCATGTGAGCTAAACTTTGGCTCAGTGCTGACAACTGACACTCTCCTTTTCTCATGTGAGTAGGAGTATATGCACATAGGCTTCATAAAGCCTTCCCCTTCATTTGAAGGAGAGACTCCCAAGAACTTGGCAGCCCCTGTGACATTAGCTGCTTACTGCAGTTTCTCTCCTTGACGCATAGATGGTCAAAACCGACAGCCCACTGAAGCTGGCCCCCTTTCCGCATCATGCCGTCTGTAGTTAGCAATGGCATTCTGGAGTCAGGGCTTCTGTGGCATCAAAGTGACAGGATTTTGGCAGAGGAACTGTACCTTTGGATTTTTCCTCTGCCTTGAAGAAGATATCTGTGATAATGTCCTGTCATAATGTGAAGGATTGATGCATTCATAGGGGCGACTTCATCCCTCTGCTGGGCTTTGTGTAACATGTTGGACTAGATTAGTGGGTTGCATGGCTTGGAGCATCTTTGAAAGTTCAGCATTTATTTTTAAACAAGGGCAAAAGGGTATTTTGTTCTGGCTTTAAACTGGGACTTGGAAAACAAGGTACAGTTTTTGCAACTCGTGATTTTTCTGGACGTCGCTGTCCTCTTTCACAGAAGGGGGTTAGTATGTTCTTATCTCATGAGGGCTGAAGCTGAAGTCATTGATTGCATCTACATGCACTACTACTGTACATGTTTTTCTGGTTACGTGCACAGTATATTTTGCACAGTTTTGACCTACTGGGAGCTTTCAGACTCGGAGACATGGATTTGTTTGCAGAACTTGACAGCTGTACCAGGAATGAAGGTTGGGGGCTAAAAAGAGAGGAAGGCTTTCAGCTGGGGAAAACATAGAGCCACATTATCTTTATAATCAAACCTTGTGTGTCCTCTGAAACTTGCTGATAGACATAGATGAGATGAGTAGAAATGCATGAACAGGAGGAGGTGGATGGCTGATGGCAGAGAAGTGAACATACATTATTTCCTGGCAGATAATAGGAAGCTATGGTGGTATTGAGAAGTAATTGAGTGGCTTCTGTGCTTGAAAATGCGAGCCTTTTGTTGTGCCATAAAAGCTTTTTTCTTGATTTCTGCCCAAAGTGCTCTAATATAATGCATTTGTTGTACATAAATAACCTGTTGGCATCCTGCTTATGCATTCAGCATGTGGTACCACCATCTTGATGGTAACCAGTCCCATGGTGGCATCGCCTTCCTCTGGCTTACTGCCCTTGGAGTGCGTTGGCGGCGTCCGTGTAGGTTGTCTCCCTCACTGCTAGAGAATGTGCTGCTACTGCAGTGCCCCATATGTTTTATCTCTTTGTAGCAAGCTCAGCTTCATCACATGTTTACAACTCACACACATAATTTTCTAGCAAATCATATGTATGTATTTTTTAAGTATAACTTTGCTGCTTTGGAAGCACGTCCATGTGGGGCTGAGTGTTAATGAAATGTCACACATGGCTTTGGGGATGATTTCTGCATCTCTGCAATAGCCATGGATGGTGTCTTCTGGGGGCAGCCTTGCAGGTCTGGGCTTGCAAATGTTCACTTGAGTATGTTGATTGGGATAACCTAGTGAAGAGTTTACTGGTCTGGGATGCAGAAGGGCTTGAATTGATTCAAGCAGAGGATTCAAAGGAGTGAACGGAACAGTAACTTTAGCCTGATCAGCCCGGTTTCCCTGGACACTGCCTGCAGTCAATAAAGAAATGTGTTTTTCTGAGAGATGAAGGCACTCAAGTCTTAAGCTGAGCAGTTCTCAGCAGTGCTATAGGGTCAGGTCCCTCAGAGCTTTGGCTGCAGGGGGAGCTATGTGGCCAGAAGGTGGTAAAAATAGCTTTGGGGCTCAGCTGGAACCAGGACATCTTGGTGTCTGTTAAATGACTCTACATTTACTTTTTTTCTGTTAACCTGCTTTACTGCCCTGCTTTGTTAGTTCAATTGACTTGCTTCAGGGCCAACTTACTGCACTATTGTTGGATTAATTGATTTGTTTCTTACAGATTTAATTGTTAGCTGTATGCTTGCACTGCTTGCAGTGAGGATTTCATGGAATACTGCCTGAACCAATCTGTTCCTCTTGATTGCTTGCATTTTGGTGAGGGGTACACGTTGTCCTACACTGATGGTGTAAGTGTTCAAATGCCCTCCCTAACAAGACTGCTACCTTCTATGGAAAGATGAAAGTTAAAATTCATCTGCTGCCCAAGAACAGGAAACCTACTTGTAGCCATATCAATCAAAAGGTGGGGGTGGAAACTCCCTAAATATTTAATAGATAACAGCAGCCCCCGGGCAGAATCAGTATACCATTTATCTAGGACATCAGTGGGGAGAAAGTTCCTTGCTTGCTTCGAGTCCCTGGTTTAAATGATTGGTCCCTGCTTTTATCCAGACTTCTTTGTTTATATTTCCATTCCTGTTGAGGTCAACAGTTCATCCTTTAGATCATCCTTTCTCAGGCTGACAAGTTTGGATCACCTGCGGTTGACTTGGATACCTCGTCCCACCTTTTATCTCCTGCCATGAGCTAAGCTTGCCCTCTAGGTTGTGACTGAGGCAGGATCTGAACGAGGCAGACGCTATCTCATCTTTTTCCATATTTTCTTAATATTGTAAGCTGAAGGGAGACAATCTGCAAGAGCTCATCAGGAGCATGACGGCACTGCGGCCAGGAGGAAGCCGTTGTATAATAACTGCAACATGACAGAGACCTAGGACAGGCAGGACTGATCTGCTCGCTAGCAGGGAGACCCAGGAGTAGGTGAGCCCCTGAGGCTTTCTGCTGTAGGATATTCAGCTGCCTGGTTTACAGTCAGAGAGCATGGGTTCCTGCACCTCACGCTGTGGAGGAGAGGATGAAGTATGCAGTCCCAAGGATGGGAAGCAGTCCCTGCTGGTGGATGAGGTTCAGCTGGCTCTTACTGCCCACATGTTCCCCATTAGGGAATCAATTCCAGTGTCCTGCTGCTCATCACTGCCTCTAGTGCCTCTTTGCTTTTTTGTTTGAGCTTGTTTTTGTGTCTCTCATTAAAACTTGAGGAAACAGACAAAAAAGGGATCTCTAACCAATGGTTCCATGGAAGTGCTTTTGGAGGTCTGTGACTTAGGGGCATCCCAGGGGCTTCAGTGGCCAGGGATGGGGCCTTTGGGAGCTCCTAGTGCCAGCTGGGCTTTTGCAGCCCTGTGATGAGAACCTGGGCACTCCACACAATGCTCTGAGCACAGCAGGCTCTTCTCCCCTTGACAGATTAAGCACAGCTGCACGAAGAGAAATACATGTATTTTAACAGTAAAGTTTTCAGTATTGACTTGTGGAACAGATGGGATTGTTTTGCTAATTGCATGTATGCTGTTGGATGCTTTGAGGAAAATTGAGATGCAGAATTATGACGGGAGACTGGTGTAGCAGAAGAATGTGACTTGTGAATAAGATGCTTTTTCACTGTAATTCCTCTTTAGGAGTGAGACAACAGTATTTTGTGGGAAAAAAAATCTTGGAGTAGGTGCTTGCAGTTAGTACTTACTTTGGTCTTGAGAAACAGAATATATTATTAGAATTGCAGAATATATAGTGACATCCCGTGCATAGAATATGTAGTGAAGTACTCTGCTCAAATGTATTTAAAATTGGGTGGCGAGGGAGA